GCCGTGTGTACCGCGTCGTCTGTCTCGTGTTAAAAACAAGATGTCCATGAAACCACAGGACAGAGGCTGTCTCCACACGTTTACATCCTGTCTTTGAAACTTCCCTTCATCCTGACCACTGTTTCCCTTCACCGTACCTACTCGTCTAAAGTCAACGTCTTCACCAAAGAACCATGACGTGTCCCCCCTCTCTCCCTGTGTCTCACCCTCCTCCCATGACAAAACGTGAGGCGTCTGTTTTGTAACAGCGATCAGTGATGGATGGATGTTTGTGTCCGTCCTCAGTGTTTTTACGATGTTGTCTTTTCCAGGTAGAAATGCATGACGCAAACAGGAAACTGCATCGAACCAGAGACAATAACAGCACTGTAACGGACACATAACTGTGTATAAACACTGGACACACACACACACACACACACCTCAGAGGTCACTGCTCTACAGCGCTGTTAGAATTCAGTCCATGGAGTGACCTGGCAGAGAGGAGGTACAGACCAGAGTAGACGATCATGACTGCATGATTATGATGATGTCTGATATTTTATTTCCAATCTCTGGTTTTAGTCAAATTTGATCAAACTTTTGAACAGCAGGTGATTCTACACTGGTTTGACTGTTATTTCATATTTGAGTTTTTTTGTCACTCAGTGATATTCCCGCACAGTCTTAAGCCTTGAGCAGTGTCTCCAGGGCTAACGTCTCTGTGCTAGCCTGATGCATTTAGATCAGGGTTCACAGATCGGTGCCAGAGGGAACGAGAAAAAAGGACGGAGGAGATTTAGACGTTCAGAATATCACAAATCCAAACGGCGCAGGTCGGAAAATCTGTACGAATTGCGTGTGTGTGCTCGTAATTGTGGGTGGCACATGAAAATTGAGGTTGAGGTTTTTGAGCAGATGACAGGTCATCGCTCGTGCTGCCTGAGAGCAGCGCCACATAGTTAAGAACAACGGCAGGAGGTACTGAGGGGCAAACAACACGCAGGCATGAGCATGAGAACACAGGCACGAACCATGGTGTGCCAGCAGGGAGGGCTGAGTCCTAAAAACAGCAGCTCTGTGCAGACCAGCAGTCTCAGCGTCACATCATGACGGGACCACAGCCAAGGAAACCCAAAAAAACTCCCCCTCACATCGGTCTGTCCAGAATGCCAGTTTGCCTTAATTGGCGTTCGGCTGAAAGATGAAGACAGACAGAAAGAGAGAGGACTGAGAGAGAAGGAGTAAAAAAAAAAAAAAAAATCGAAGTGAGCATGTTTTGGCAGGCTGATGAGGTGAGGAGAGGCTAAAGTCAGCTGGGGGCCGGAGAACACACTGTGAATAAGCAAAGAGATATCTAGGACTCTCTCTGAAGCTGTTTGTCTGTGTTCAGGTCACATGATCACTGCGTTCAGCTTCATCCCGTCTTCATTTTAGACACAACTTTGACTTTTTAAGATTTAAAAATGACACAGAACACATTAGGACGCTGATGTTTTTCTTGGTCCGAGCTGATTCATACAGAAAAACTTTCTGGAGATTCCACTGTGAACACGCTTCCTGAATGTGACTGACTGTCTCCCACACTGAGAGGAAAGGCGATACTTTCTCCCCTTTTGGCTAAGATTGAAAACAAACCCATTTGTCTGCACGGTGTGACCACCATTTAAATCCATTCCATGGACATTTTCACGTAAAGTTGTTTTTTTAGGGCTTTCTGGATGAAGTGTCTCATCTGTGGGGGATAAAAAGAAGAGAGATGAATGGTTGAATGCCTCACCTCTCCTCCCAGCCTCGCTTCTTCCTTTATGGCAGCGTGACATGGAAACGTTCTGCCTTTTCCGTTTCCACTTAGTCTTTTGCAAATGTCTCGTATATTCAGAGGTTTCTTTACATTTTGAGGACACCGTCTGGACTGAATGCACAGAAACAAGGCTGCTGTTTTGTTCAGCCGTCCTTCAAACCACTGATTATATAAAAGCAGAATTAGAAAAAAAAAGGAATTCAATTTGATTCTTGTTTCCATTGCTTTGAAGCAGCACCAGTGACTGTGTGAACAGACCTTATGCAACAAGTGCATATGCCCCCTACTGGTGCGTCTTGCAGAAAAACACACTGCCATCATCAGCCTTACAAGCAGATGGAATATTTCTTTAGATTCACCTCATGAATTTTAAACACATTTCAGGGCCAGTGCAGTTTTTTTTTTTTTTATCATCTCACCCCATGTGGTGTTTCAGTGGAAGCAGTGTGTAAAACAGCTGGCAGTCTTCACTGGTAATCCCCTGCTGTCGGACTCCTGTCTGCCTGTCCTTATTTTGTCTTGTCATTTTCAGCTGTCATTCTCAGCCGTCAGACCCGTGATTTGGGTTTTTTTTTTGCTCACTTTGAACGGTGCTCTCATATTTATGGACAGTGTTCGTCAGCATCAGACAAGTGGAGACATTCGGCAGCACGGCTCAATATTTCTCTGCTGAGTTGCCCCTTCAATCACAGCATCACAGATGCTTAGGGCATCCATTATGAGCTAAGAAATAGAGAGGGAGGAGGGGGAGGGAGGAGGGGAGAGTGATCTATGTGTATGTGAGCAAACATCATTTCTCTGTATCTATAAAACATCAATGTCTCTGCAGGCCTCTCAGCTCTGTGAGCCTGTTCTTAGTGCATAATGCTAATGTTAATGCGAAGGTATATTAGCAACGTCGCTAAAGAAAAGAATGAAAAAAAAAAAACTTGCCAAGGGTGAGGGTCTCATGTTGTATTGAATACAGATTACTGCAACTATCTGAGGCAGGAAGTGCTCAAAATGTTGTTACAAGAGTAATGTTGCGATGGAGTTTTGACCTGCAACGCAGCTTGTGATGTTATAATTGTGATTAAAAAGTTGAGCTCAGTGAGGGCCTGTGAAGATTTACTCAATTCACGAGCTGTTTTGTAAAGAACCGATTGATGTTGCACAGCATTTGAGTCAATATTTTGAGCATGTTAAAGAACAAAGTGCACTTTGATAACTGATTTTTCATCAACAAAACCGACTTGAACTACTTGGGCTGTAGATCAAGTCAGAGAGTAAATACAGATACGGATAGATCGCTGAATTTGTGTGTGTGTGCGCTGCTTGTGTGACCAGTGGGTGAGACTGCGAGAATCTGTTTACTCTGACATCTACAGTGGAAACACTGCCACCACCCTGTGACGGTGTAGACGTGGGACAGAAAAGTCTTCAGACACTTTTTTCTTTCTGCCTCCTGTGAAGCTGTGGCATCTTCTTTCTGCGGTCATCACAGCCTTGTTTTTTTCCAAACAATTGTAGCTTTTGTAAAAATGGCCACAATAAGATGCACTTCACAAAAGATGAGATGAGATCAGTGATCATGACTCATGAGTTCAACAGATTCAGGCTTCAGAAACGCATCTGTTCGGTCCGTGTAAATAAATGTTAAGTTTAAGAGCACGTAATGTCTCCAAAACGCAGAGATGACTAACCACTATTGTTAGCCTGTCACTCGTGTATCGACAGTTTCATTAAACACATCTGTTTGACTCTGAGTTCATCTGTTGATGACTCATAACAAGTAAGAATTTGGTGAAACTCATGTTAAGCACTCGTCCAAATATGGTCCTCTAATGTTGCGTTGACAATTAAACTCTGCAGCTCCTGGATTCTTCGTGCTGACTCAGAGGACACGGGAAAATCTTTAAAACGTGGCATGATCACCGTGTTGAAAACACTCATGACCGAGTGATTGCTGAGTGTTTGCGCGTGTCTTCGGCCACAGCTGCTCCGCTCCCGTGAGACAAAGTAATTCTCCCTCAGATGTACACACTCGTGTCTATACCAGACATGAATATTTATGTGTACACACACACACACACACACGTGTAAATGTAGCTGTGTCGCACACGCAATTACACACAGGCGTGGATGTAAGGATGCCATGAATGAAACAACCGTAATCATGGACAAATAGGAAATGAATAAATATCAGAGTTCTGTTTGAGGAGGTTTTAACCACATATTTATTCCTTCGTCTTTTCCTCCTTTATTCTGTGACGACTCAGTTCTGCCCTTCACATGGGTTAGCGTTAGCTCTAGGGACCAGACCCCTCGTGGCCCAGCACTCTGGTTTCACATGGATCATATGTACAGTCTAGCCATGTTTCCTGTGGCGAACATATTGCACTGTACGTATACATATGATGTGATTTTCCATCAGAGAAACATACGAGAGATGTCGTATAAGAGATGTCAAGATGTGCTAATTGCACCAGTGAACTGAACTCTCTGACTCGGATTCTTTATTTATGCTAATTTATGCTAAAAGTTAAGTAACAGTTCAGAGCCTTTCATTTGTCTGCTGCGTTTGATAGGGCCATAAATCACCAGTGCTTGGTGAATGTGTTCATGTGTACAACCATACAGAGCCGCACATTATTTTAGAGCCTGCCCCTACTGGCCAGCATTGGTTCCGCATAAAAAACTAAATTTCTACAGGAAATATGGGACGTCTATTAATATTCTACAGATTCACTAAATGTTTGTTTATTTCCATCTGAAGTGAAAAATAACCTGTTGTGCAGTACTGCCTCCTAGTGTTGTGTCATGCTCACAATAAATACATTTACACCTTTGGTCAAACAAATGTCTTAAACATGCCCTTTTGACCCTTGGAAGAAAAGACAGAAAAACATGTGCAACGGGAGGAATATTGAAACTACAGAGGAGCAAATGGCAAATTCAAACGAGTGACTTCAGACTGTGCGGCAAAAGCCCTGACCACTGAGGCACTGTTCTGCCTCCATATTACTGGGCTCTCGCAAATGATTTGAAAACTATAACGGCCTCGGCTTAGTCCTCAAATCGAATGTTATTTTAAATCAGGATTACTGAAAATTTCCAAGTGTGTATTTTTAAAGATTAGCAAATAACAGCAGTTAAGCCAGACCCCCCCCCCACACACACACACACACACATGCATACATGCAGACACACACAGTATGAAATTTGAGACCCCCTGCTCCCTTCGAGGGAACAGAAAGAAAAAAAAACAAAACAACTGCAGACTCTGCTGGCCTCTTGATTTTAAATGAAGACAGAAGTGAGTGCTGGAGCTCTCCCAGGCAGGAAAGCCCACTCTGATCCCTGCAGTGAACGCCACCATCAGGCTGGACGCTGGTAATGACGCTGCTCTTGTCTTACTGCGAAATGCATGACACCTTCCACCAGCTTGTTCTCTCCTCTGTAAATAGCACGTATGTATCACTGCAGACCTGGCTGTGGCCGTGACCACGGGGTCAGACGAGAGCGGACACACACACACACACACACACACACACACACGGCATTAAAATCTGCTCTGGGTGAAGTACAGAGCAGTGGAGAAAAGCACCTGTAACCGTTGTTGTTGTCAAACTGCGAGTCAACTCTGTAACAGAGGGGAATAAAAGATAAAAGAGTGGGGTCAGCAGACGGGAGAGGAAACAAAGGGGGAGGAGAGTAAAAACAGCTGAGAGGGAAGAGAGAGGAGAGAGGAGCAGAGGGTAGGAAGGCAGAACATTAGGGGAGTGGGGACCTTATCCTGGAATAGCCAGCAACTAGAGCTGCAGACTCCACCTTCCCCAACCCTCCCCGTACTCTCTCTCCCTCTCTCTCTCTCCCTCTCTCAGTCTGTCATTTGACCAGGCAGTTCACTAAGGCAAGAGCTCAGCACTCAGAAGACACCAGAGGACAGAGGACACTTTCAGTCTGTACAACAATACGCTCTTCTTTGGCTGAATCTCACCAGCTGACAAAACCCCGGTGAATGTGGATTTGCTTCTATCTTCTCGTCCACTGCGTTTAAGGAGTTCTCCACTCTGTGGATGTGGACTTCAACTCTGTCTGCAGTCAGCTGAGAAAGAGGAGCAACTGTCATTCTTTTTTTGGGGAGGGGGATTTACCTTCACTCCAGTCAGGGGGAGTGAGGTGGACACTCAAACAGACGAGACGAGACCGAGACAGAGACGGAGACTGAGAGAGGAAGTCAGAGGGTGAGAAGGTGAGAGGCTGACAGAGAGGGTCCCGGGCCATGCCCTCCTCTGCTCATGGTTCGACAGCATGAAAAGGGGCCACCATCACTATCGCCACCACCGAGGCTGTGGCTGCCAACACTTGTTCCGTAAAGTCCTGGCCAAGTGTGGATGTTGTTATGCCCGAGTCAGAGGTCAGTGTTTTTTCTACACACACACACACACACACACACATATAACTCTTTAAAAACGATCTATCATCTTCATCACTTCGCTCGTAGCCGCTGTCAAATTCCTGGGTTTGTTACTAAAATTCTTCTTCGGTGACTTTTGCTCTGTTTGTGTTGTGTGCGATCTGCGTGTTCCATTTTTTCACGGTGCTGAAGTGAAGCAAGAATACATTGGACTTCATCTCCTACATCCTCTTCTCTCTCTCTCTCTCTCTCTCTCTCTCCATTTAAAACCTTTCTTTTCTCCTGCACAGTTCTCAGACACCCACCTCTCTCTTATCGCTCTTTCCGTTCCTTTGACTGCGTTTTAATCCTCCTCAGTCTATATCCACCTCCAGCTAAAGCAACAGATGTTCATCACATACACAGCACGAGCGAGAAGATGAAGAAAACCCTGTGTGTAGATGACTGTAGTGGAGCAGGAGAGATGGGAACACATTACACATTCTTCCCTAAGAGACAGACAGAGAGAGAGAGAGAGAGAGAGAGAGCAGAATGGGGGAGTGGACGAGTGTGTGAGTGGGATTTGGAAAGTGACTGTCCTCATCATGATGAGTGTGTGTCAGTGGGGTATGTGTAGCACGTGGCTGTATGAAACAAAAGGGGGTCGGGAGCATTGAACAACTGAATCTGAAACATTCCTCTGCCCTGAACCAAACCGTCTGTTGCATGCTGGGGAAAAAAAACAAACCCATCTGATAGTTTAGTCCAACATGGACCAAGTTTCCTTTTGTGTGTACACTAAGTTGAGCTATTTACAAGCTAACAGTTGTGAAGTAGTGCTGGTTGTCTTTTAACAAGCAGAAAATATTATTCCAAGTACTACGAAACATGAGTAGGGTTTGTAGTAGCTGCATCCTACACTTTAAAAGTTGGACAACAAGAGCCATGCTTTAAATCTTCATGAGAAGATTTTCCCTTGATATAGTTAACAGCATGGAGCTCATATTTACACAGACATCCACATATCTCTGTTTCCCTCCTTCATGTTTACACTGTCATTCACATTAACAGAAGCAGGTCATAAACCAGTCTGAAAAGATACCTGTTCGTGTTGCACAGCATTTGTAATGTTATTTTCTTTATAACCAGTTCATAGTAACCAACACTGACATGGACCAGGTTTATTATGGTTTTGTTGATCAAGAATCCAGTACCAGTACAGAACCTGTATTGATCTGACTCTTCCTCCATGACTTCCTGTTCTTGATGTATCTTTGCCTCGATCTCCAACTCTCTTCAACTGCTGTAATGAAGTCCACCAGGAGGGACAGCAGTCCATTAGAACAGAGTGCATGATTTAAAGCAGCAGGAGGCATGGGTCACAACAACAAGGCTGACGAGATCACGCAGTCGCTCACAGCTGCGCCGCTTGTTTAGAGTTTACACAAAAGTCATGGAACTGTAACCCAACCCTGAGAGTGAAACTCTCAAGAAACTGTCACACACACTGTCACACACACTGTCACACACATCGGTCCCTGTCACTTTGGCACTGAGTCCACATTAAAACAACAACAGAGTCTATGAGTTTACACACCGTGGTGCCACGCTATGTGTTTGTTCCCCTTTACAAGCCTACTTCAAAGAGATAAAGTGCGGACCTCCCCGCTGAGGCTCGGTACATGACGGGGGGGGGGGGGGGGGGGGGGGTGAGGTGGGTTGCATCTTACTGTGTGCTGGATACATACCTCAGATTCCTTTAGCTTAATCTCTTATGTAATGGATATTCTCCTTTTCCATTGCCTGCAGCTTCCTGCTGCACCTACACTGTGTTATCATAGAAAATACACACACATTCACATCATAATATGTAAACATGTGGGTTGAGGCCAGCGAGACATTTCAGGCTATTAAAAGAAAGCTCCATCGGTACGTCCAGTATAAGAACGTTACTCTAAATGGATTTCTGGATTCCTTTCAGAACTTTTACAGTCGGCAGGCGGCTGGTTTTTTGCTTCAGTATCAGAAGCTGAAGATGGAGAGCTCTTGCTGTTTTCTTACAACCCTGGCAGGGAAACATGAGTCCTCCTCTGGGACGTGACATTATAAAACTACATTAGAGTACCTTAACTATTAATGTGGAGCCTCCTCCTCCTCACAGAGGATATAAAGTAGGTTTCTCTGTTGCTGCCGCTGGATTTGTCCCACCAGTGTGTTAAGGAGCTAACATCCAGTCCATGTTTTCAATTATTAAAGACGCTCCTATAATTGTCCTGACGTCAGGGGGACAAGGTGTGACTGATGTGGACTTCGTTCTCCAGCTCCGTCTCTCCAGTGACATTTCATCTCAAACACTTGACCTTTAACCTCATCCAATGAATCCGTGACAGGTTTTTGTGGGATGGAAGCGTGACACTCGGGTCTCGACTGTTTCTGTTTTGATATTTACAGGAAAAACACGCAACAATGAAGGTCCGACTCCACGAGAGTCATCCGCCGTCTTTAAACACTTTTCCTGTTCGTCAACAATGACGCAACATCAGATAATATCTGGTGTTTGTTGACGGGAATGGTTTTGGATTAAACACTAGTGTCACTTCGATGGTCTGAGATTACAATCTAGGGTCATGTGACAAAAACAATAAAGAAACGAATGGGAACAGCAAGACCCTGGAAAAGTAACGTAACGCCATAATAATGCAGGTCTAGATCATTGTCATTTGGTTTATACCGTTAATAAATATTTTCCTGACGGCCACATGGCCTTAATTACTGGGTTTATGTTTTTAAAGTAAAAGGTCAAATTTTGGAAACGATGAATAATTCAGAGGAAAACAGATGACAAACCTCAACAGAATTCGTCGAGTTACTGTTGGTGAGAGGCAGAGTTGTCATCGGAGAGATCGTCGCAGAAAGGGGAACTAGTCCCTTTCTACTGTAACACACGCTGGTGCACGCTTCAAAATACAAACTTGCGAACGCAATACGGCATTTTATGAACATCAATCTGCGGTTGTTCATATCTATGGATGTTCCTAATCTGGGGAACTGTTGTTCTGCTGTACTGTATATCTTGAGAAAATGCGTTCTCCTTCCATTAATAATTCTTAAAAAAAGATTGGCATTCCATTAGTGACACCATATGCCTTCAAACAAACACACACACACACAGACTTGAATGTAGCCATAAGTGAAGAAATAGCTGACAAATCATTTCAGCTGCTGTCACTCTGACTAAACAACTCGCTCTGGATCATCACTTCTGCCTCCAAACCCTTTTCCGAAGAGAGAAGAAACTAAGAGAAAAAGACAACTCAGTCGGTTAGCTGTGGTGCTGCGGAGATAATGTTGTTACACATTTTCTTTTTAACTTCTCCTTAAGAAAGGAAGAAAAGCACCAGGAGCTTACAGCCACGTTTGAATTGGATTTTCGGGGGCGTTTTTCTGCCATGTGTTCATTCAGTGTTCATTAGCTGAGAGTCACCACAAGGCATGGGGTAAAGATGAAGGCATCATGAAAGACCGGGGGATGGGGGCGGGGTTATTGATCTGAGCAGTTGTGAATATGTCGCAGTGGGTGGACAGGTGGCAAAAAAGGAATAATGACATGAATTTCAGCAGACGCCGGAGGTCATTACAGTTTTCCAGTAAAGACTGATTGAAGAAAACATCTGAAAGAAAGCCCAGTCTGATTTTATCTATAGCATGACTCATACCAAGATAGACAACGCACACATTCATCCAATTAGAATCTGCTGAAGGTTGCGTGAGTTTAATGCTAAGGAAAGGCTTGAATTTACTTGAAAAGTCTGTGCAGTTTATATAAAGAACCGTTCCTGAAGCCAAAACACGTTCTCTCTAAAAAAAGCACCTTTACATTGGACTCACTGAATGGTAGCTGGCAGAGGGAAGGCTGTCACAGAAGAATGCCTGGTGCCGCTGTAACAAAATAAACATGAGGAATATACGGAGTCTTCGCAGGACTGATCAAATGTAAACAAAGTAGATAAAATAATCTGTATTTCACACAAAATTCCCTCTCTGCCTTGGATTACTGTTGAATTTGTCGTCCAGATTTAAATAACGCCAGTATTTGTTTAAAGTTATATATTTATTTAAACCATAAATATAATAAAATTAACTTCGTCTTTCGGCTGCCTGCAGCTCACCTGCTCCTCTACTGTGACAACAAACTTCTCCAACTCCTCCATCACTGCATCTAAAGATTTCCTTTAGCCGTAGCGGCTCCATCTCTCACCATGTCCATGTCCATGCTATCCCACTCTCGGCTCTGTCATAGACTAGTCTCTCTCCCCACCTACAATCCCTTCATTCTAATTTTGCTCTTTTCCTCTTTTGATTGGTCGTCGTGGTACTTTAACTACACATGTGTAACAGTGATTTTTCTCCAAAGAGGATTCAGATGTAGCTGTGCTCTCATCGACTTCCTTTCACTTCCACCCCGACCTGCTGACACGGACACACATGTACAGATATCTACGCTTTCTTGTTGTTGACATTTTCACTAAAATAATCCCTTCCCGTACACCGCAGAGGCAGTAAGCAGCTTAACCCACGTCCCAGCTGACTCATATACAGCTTTATTAACCAGCAGAAGCAACAAAAACAACTTTTCTGTTTCCTTTTTCTTCTACTCGATCTGAACCTGTGCTCGATAAGCACTCTCACATATGAAATGTGACGGGCATCTGCAAGTATTTGTGAGTGCAGGGGTCTGGTGTTGAGTCGGGTATGTTCTGAATTAGTTCAAGGACGCCCCCAGCTACGACACACACACACACACACACACACACACACACCCCCGTAGGGCATTATGTCGACAAGGTTGAACACCAGAAACAAATGCACAGAAAAATATAAAAGACACATGAAACGTCAAAGAACATTAAATAGAACCGCGGGTGTCATAGACCCCATGTCCACCAGCAGAAAACTTCATACCCATATTAAAAGATTTTTAAGCATCGTTTTAATTAGGGATGTTCTTCTAGTTTTGTTCC